AAGCCGTGACGACTTGTACCCCCCACACATTTTGTTTTGACTCATTTTTGCCGTGACAGCTTGGTGATTCAAAATTAAATCAAATTTATCATAAAATTTACGATAACAAAAAATAATAATATGAATATTATTATTCTTTTTAAAAGAAAGGATTAGCTGAGTTGAGATAGTTTGTTAATCCTGCAATTTCATTTTTCGGTATTATTTTAGCTGCGACAGTTTGATATTCCGAAACCATCAAAATCCAAAATTTTCAAATTAATTTCTTTAAAACTCTTTTTCAAAATTAAAATCAATCAACACACAAATATTTTATAGAGAACGACGTAGCTTTGAATTCCTCACTGCACCGGAGGGTACGTCGGAGGCAAAATAAAATTTTAATAATTTTAGTCTTTTTTTTTTTTTCTTAATTAAGTCATATTTATTTTAAGGGATGAAGCAAATATTTTTTAAAAGTTATTAATAATTCGCACAATTAATTCAAGGTAACCGTTTTTAACGGATTTAGGGGTCTTTTTTTTTTTTTCTCCCGAACCTTTGATTAAGTTTTAAAGACCAGTTTGCAATAGGTTTTCCAATTTTTCCAAAGTAAATAAAATTGGTGGGACTCCTTTGTTTTATTTTTTTTATTTCGGGTCGTTACAAATATTTTGAAATAGCTTAACTTGTTTAATAATTAAAAGACACAGTACAATTCTAGGCTGCTGTGGTCGGCTCCAAAGCACATGAACTGTTTCGCTGACTCTATTTTATTTTCCTCCTTTCTTTTTTCTTTCCTTTTGATTGTTCCATAAATATTGTTTTATTTTTCAGAAAATTATTGTTTGATGTCGATATGTATACAAAGAATTTTAGTTTGGTGGTTGATAAAATATGTTTTTTCTAATATTATTTCGGAACTAATGTTTATAAAATATCACAACAATTAAAAAATGTTATTATTTTGTCGTTAAGAATTGCTAATCAGAGTAAAGCTTTTATCACGCAGTCAGAGAGAAGTTCTCTATTATATATTCTTTAATTAACCGTTGGTGTGTATAACTTTTATAATATGACACGCACACCTAGGCGTGTGAATTATTTATGTAAGTATTTATGCTGAGGACTGCCTAACCGAAATTTAGAGTTTAAGATACCCAATGCCAAACCCAGTCCACCAAATACTATCGTACCATCCTACCCCGTATCCCTCTTACCAGACCCCCACATTCTCTCAGCCGCCGCCACAAAACTTCCCAAATTTAAGCACTACGCCCACCCCACATTTTCGTGTAAATAACATACCTACCCCATCCCACACTCGTCCGTCTTATGCTCAGTATCGTCCAAATTACACTCAACCACAGCAAAACTCCCAAAACCAAACCCCTTTTCGTCCCCAAAATCTTCCACCATTTCCAAGGCTGTCTATCTCCAATACGGATTTATTCCAACGTCTGTTTGATGCTCATTTGATCTCGGAAAACCCTGTGCGCCCAATGCAACCTCCGTTCCCAGCATGGTATAATCCAAATTCTACTTGTAGATATCATATGGGAGTGGCAGGACATTCCATTGAAGATTGTGAGGCCTTCAAAACAGCAGTAAGAAAGTTGATTGCTTGCGGAAGATTGGATATCCAAGAAGAGACTGGGCCTAATATTGTCAATAACCCCATCCCGAGTCATGAAGGAAAGAATCAGGTGAATGCTATAGAAACAGAGGATACCGTGATAAAGAAAGTTCTGAGTCTGCGTACACCCATGTCGGGTATATGGGAGTGTTTAAAGAAAGCTGGTTATGACATCACGGTGCCAGGGCGTTTCATGAAGGATGATGAAAAATACGATGATGAGTCAAGTTGTGCGTACCACAATGGACACACAGGACATGATATTGAAAACTGCTGGGATTTCAAAGTCCGAATCCAAGGCTTGATCGCATTGGGTATCATACAGGCCAGGCGAAAGAATGCTTTTCCTGAAGAGGTTAATATAGTAGAACGCTTTGTACTTCGGGTGCCACCTATTAACAAGCATCCTGTGCCTGAGAAAATGGTCATGAAAGTGAAGAAACCAACGCCTTTTTCTTATAATGATACTCATGCAGTACCGTGGAACTACGAGACAAGTGTTGAAGAAATTGGAAACACCTCGAGAGCCAATGTTGATGATACTCGCTCGGTGGAAGAATCAATGAACACAATGAGAGTGGGGGAAGTCACGAGAAGCGGGAGATTCTATTGCCCGAAAGAACTAGAAATGAAGAAAAATGGAAAGGAAGAAGGAGGTGAAGGAATCATCAACAATGAAAAGAAAGAAGGAAAAGAGGAAGATGAGCTCTTAAAGATCATGAAGCAAAGTGAATACGATGTGATGGAACAGTTGAAGAAAACTCCAGCTAGGATATCACTTCTGTCACTAATCCTCTCATCGGAATCTCATCGAAAGGCGCTCATGAATATGTTGAGTGAGGCTTATGTCAAGTCAGATGTTACTCCTGAAAACGTGGTCAACATGGTAGATCCAGTGAAACATGTTAACATGATCACATTCTCAAATGATGAAGTTGTCTGTTCATCGGAGAAAACCTCGAAAGCTCTGCATATAACGCTGAAATGTAAAGGGTATATTATAGCCAAGGTTTTGATTGACGGAGGATCAGCACTAAATGTCCTACCACTGTCAACTTTGTCTCAGCTATCGATGAGCACGAATGATTTAACCCCTCAAGAGATGATTGTGCGAGCTTTTGATGGTACAAAGAGAGGAATCCTAGGGGAGATAGTTTTACCCTTAGAGATAGGCCCGAGTAATTTTCAGGTTTTATTCCAAGCCATGGATATCGAACCTGCCTATACCATGCTCCTGGGTAGACCTTGGATCCATGCAGCAGGTGCTGTGCCTTCTACCCTGCATCAAAAGGTCAAATATATCGAGAATGAGTTGATTGTCACCATCCATGGAGAAGAAGAAATCATGGTTTCTAAACCGGTCTCGGTGCCGTATGTTGAAGACACAGATCCCATAGAAGGAAATGGGTGGCATAGTTTTGAAGTTGTTGAATCTAGTTGCAAAAAAGATGAATCACTGGGGCAAGGTGTGAATGAGATAATCGCTCGAATTATGGCCAAGAGTGGATATAAGGTGGGTAAAGGTTTGGGCTCGCAGCTGCAAGGTAGCCGATCACCTATAATGGTTCCAGAAAAATCAAATAAATTTGGTTTAGGGTATGAAGGGTCGTTTGAGGAAAAAGTTGAGAGAAAAAGAGGCAACAAGGGCAAGACGCAACAAATTCCCCATCTAAGAGAAACATTCCCGGTGCCAGCAGAGGTTATTATGCCTGAAGAGGTCGTTCATCTCCCACATATCAATGCACTGGATGATGAAGACCTAGAAGGATGCAGCACGATTCGTCTGTCCACTAATGATGGAGCATTGAAGAATTGGCAGACAGAGCCAGTTATTGATGTGATTGCTATGAAGTAATTGTCTAGTTGATTTGTATTAGTTGCCTCATGAAAGGGACCTTGAAAACTCACCGATTGATTCTCTTGTGGCTATCAATGAAGAAGATCCGGGGTCTGATGAGGAGCAAATAGTAGAAGAATTTTCAAAGTTGTTAGAAGGCTCGGAAAAGAAATTTGATTTGAATGATGAGGTGTTTGAGTTAATCAATATGGGCACTGAGGAAGAGAAGAAAGAATTGAAAATTGTTGATAATCCCGAGCGGGAAGAGATGATTCAATTATTCAAAGAGTATCTAGATGTCTTTGCATGGACGTACCGAGATATGCCTGGAGTAGATCCAAGGATTGCATCACATAAAATTCCCTTGTACCCGGATGCTGAACCAAAAAAGCAGAAGTTAAGGAGGATGCGCCCAGATATATCCCTGAAAATTAAAGAAGAGGTGACAAAGTTGTTAGAGGCAGAATTTATAGAAGTCTCAGTATACCCAGATTGGGTAGCCAACGTAGTGCCTGTGCCTAAAAAGGATGGAAAAATCCGCGTGTGTGTAGACTACAGGGATTTAAATAAAGCTTGTCCGAAGGATGATTTCCCACTTCCTCATATCGATGTGCTTGTTGATAATACGGCCAAGTATCATACATTCTCATTTATGGATGGATATTCGGGGTATAATCAAATTCTCATGGATGTTGATGATAAAGAAAAAACTGCTTTTATTACTCCTTGGGGGACATTTCGTTATAGAGTGATGTCATTTGGACTAAAGAATGCAGGGGCTACTTATCAGCGCGCTATGGTTGCATTATTCCACGACATGATGCACAAGGAGATTGAAGTGTATGTGGATGACATAGTTGCTAAGTCAAAAGAAGGGGGGAGTCATGTGAAAGTCCTGCAAAAGTTGTTCGAACGACTCCGAAAGTACCAGTTGAGATTGAACCCTAGCAAATGTGTTTTTGGCGCATCCTCAGGAAAATTGCTCGGTTTCATTGTTAGTAGAGAAGGAATACAGGTGGATCCAGAAAAAGCAAAAGCAATACGAGATATGCCCGCTCCTAAATCAGAGCGAGATGTGAGAAGCTTCTTGGGACGACTCAATTATATTGCTAGATTCATTGCAAACTTAACTAGCACTTGTGAGCCTATCTTTAAGCTATTGAGGAAGAATCAACCAGGGAAGTGGGATGAAGACTGCCAGAAGGCATTCGACAAAATAAAGGCTTACTTGTTGAACCCCCCTATCTTGGTACCGCCAATGCCAGGTCGCCCTTTGATTTTGTATTTGACTGTGCTGCCCACCTCCATGGGAGCAATGCTGGGGCAACATGATGAGTTTGGTAAGAAAGAGAAAGCTGTGTACTACATTAGCAAGAAGTTCAATGAATGTGAGGTTCGTTATATGGCAATCGAGAAGACGTGTTGTGCTCTAGTGTGGAGCTCGAAAAGACTACGACAGTACATGTTGTATTACACCACCTGGTTGATATCTCGAATAGATCCTTTGAAGTATATATTTGAAAGCCCTCATATTTCTTTAAAGGTCTCAAAATGGCAGATGATATTGTCAGAATTTGACATCCAATACGTGACTCGGAAGTCGATCAAGGGAAGCGCAATTGCAGATCACCTAGCTGAAAATCCCATTGAAGACGACCAGTCAATGCAAATTGAAATTCCAGGCGGGGAAATACTGGCAGTAGAAGAAGATGAGATTGAGAAAAGTGCATGGAAAATGTATTTTGATGGGGCAGTTAATATGCACGGCAGTGGTGTAGGAGCAGTGGTCATTTCACCAACCGGCAAGCAATACCCGGTGGCCATCAAGCTGGACTTTGAATGCACCAATAACATTGCAGAATATGAGGCTTGTGCAAGCGGTCTACGTCTTGCGATCGATTTAGGAGTGAAACTGTTGGAAGTATTTGGGGATTCAGCTCTTATCATTTACCAGGTGAATGGCGAGTGGCAGACTAAAGATGCGAAGTTGGTGCCCTACCAAAAGTACTTGACTCGATTGATTGCAGAGTTTGAAGAAATAGAATTCTCGCATTTAACTAGAGACAAGAATCGATTTGCAGATGCTCTAGCCACGTTGGCTGCAATGACTAAGCTGGATATCCTCAGTGATGTCCAACCTATCCAAGTTGAGATGAGAGATGAACCAGCTCACTGCGCTAGTGTGGAGAACGGGCCAGATGGTAAACCTTGGTACTTTGATATCAAACAGTATATTCAGCACAGAGAATACCCAACTGGGGCAAACGAAGCCCATAGGAAGACCGTTCGCCGGTTGTCGATGGCCTTTTTCTTGAACGGAGAAATTTTGTACAAGAGAAGTCATGATGGCACCCTTTTAAGATGCGTAGATGCTCGTGAAGCTCACTCAATCATGATTGAAGTCCATGAGGGAATTTGTGGGACTCATGCCAATGGACATATGATGACGCGCAAGATTATGAGGAGCGGATATTATTGGTCCACCATGGAGGCAGATTGCGTAGAACATGTTCAAAAGTGCCAAAAGTGTCAAATGTATGCAGACCGTATCAATTCACCGCCTTTTCCATTACACAATATGGTGTCTCCTTGGCCGTTCTCGATGTGGGGAATAGATGTTATTGGTTTGATCAATCCAAAGGCCTCGAATGGGCATCGCTTTATCCTGGTAGCAATAGATTATTTTACCAAGTGGATAGAAGCCTCATCGTATGCCAACATTTCACAAAAGGTGTTTGTCAAGTTTCTCAAGAGAGATATCATTTCCAGATATGGGATTCCAGAAAGGATAATTACAGATAATGCTCCTAATCTTAACGGTGCAGAAGTGCGAAAACTATGTGAGCATTTCAAGATTAAGCATCACAACTCAGCTCCTTATAGACCTCAGATGAATGGTGCAGTTGAAGCAGCCAATAAGAATATCAAAAAGATCATTGCCAAGATGGTTGTGAGTTATAAAGATTGGCATGAGATGTTACCCTATGCTTTACACGCGTATCGAACCAATATACGTACGAGTACTGGGGCAACACCTTTCTCCTTGGTATATGGAATGGAGGCTATCTCTCCGATAGAAGTTGAAATTCCTTCATTAAGGGTTTTGATGGAGGCAGAATTAGAAGAGTCCGAATGGGTGAAAGCACGATATGAACAACTGAACATGATTGAAGAGAAAAGATTGACAGCTCTTTGTCACGGGCAGTTGTATCAGGGTAGAATGGCTAAAGCCTTTAACAAGAAAGTCCGGCCGAGGGAATTCCAATCAGGTGATCTGGTCTTAAAAAAAATCTTGCCTAATCAAGAAGATGCTAGAGGAAAATGGGCTCCAAATTATGATGGCCCTTATGTGGTCAAACATGCTTTTTCTGGGGGAGCATTAATTCTACAAGACATGGAAGGGCAGGAGTTACGAAGACCAATAAATACTGATGCTGTCAAAAGATTCTATGCCTAAAAAAAAAAAAAAAAAAAAAAAAAAAAAAAAAAAATATGAAAAAAAAGAAGTATGTTAGATCAAAAATCCAAAAGGGAGGTCTAAGCAAAAATTAGGGCAAACAAAAAAGGGAAAGCCTGTTAGATTGAAAACCCGGAAGGGCGGTCTAAGCAAAAATTAAGGCAGATAAAAAGAAAATTCGTTAGGCTGAAAACTCGACAAGGTCACTCAAGCAAAGTTAGGCAGACAAAATCAGTTAGGTTGAAAACCCGCAAGTGCAACTTGGACATTAAAGACTCGAAACTAAACTGCCCAAGATTTTTGAAGAAAGTAACGCACACGGGGCAGGATCCAGAGAGGAAACAGAGGATTGTACCGCGGAAGAGACCATGACTTCATTGGTAATGCAGCTAGAAAGCTGAAGAGAATCAATTCAACGAATGACAAGAAACTGATACTGGGGCAAATTTTTCGTGGGATCTCAAAATTTCTCTTGTCCTTTTCCTTTTTTTTCGTGTCTAATATCTCCTCCCACAAAGATTTCATGTACAATCAACTTTCATATCAATGGAATGGTTTTGCTTATCTCATCATTTTTATTTCTCTTTCCTTCTTCCACTCATGAATGCATATTTATTTATCAAGTTTATGTCTCGAGTAACGTAATTTAAGTTTAACAATGTGACTAACATTGCTCGTAGCAATTCTTCGATTATTGGTTTTGATCGTGGAACTTGATAATTTAGAACACAAGTCATAAGGGAGTGGTATAATCATGTTGTTGGGAGTGAATTTTCATGGAAAAGGCAGGAAGAACAAAGAGGCGAAAAGGATGGGACAAATGGGTTCACAAGAGGTTTTGAGACCTGATGAAAGTCTCACGAATGAGGGTTTGATTGGCTTTAGTTCTTTTTGGTCGTCAGTTTGGTTTTTCGTTCGAAGAATGGAAAGCTTCTTGATTCTACTTTATTTTCTCATCGTTTAAGTAAAGCTTAACAATTTTACCTTATTTTTCTCATCATTTTAAATTTTTTATTTCTCTCACAAGCATCCAATTTCGAGCTCATAGCTCAGAGGCTCATTGCAATTTATGTTTCGGCTCGGAGGCCATGCAATTTAAATTCATGTCATTTATTTTCGAGCTCAGAGGCTCGTTGCAATTTAATCTTTCGGCTCAAAGGCCACACAATTTAAACTTATGTCATTTAATTTTGAGCTCAGAGGCTCATTGCAATTTATTTTATTTATTTATTCATTTATTTATTTATTTATTTATTTTTATTTTTTATTTTTATTTTATTTATTTTGGCTCAGAGGCCATGCAATTTAAATTTCTATCATTTAATTTCGAGCTCAGAGGCTCATTGTAATTTATTTTTCGGCTCGAAGGCCATGCAATTTAAATTCATGTCATTTATTTTTGAGCTCAGAGGCTCGTTGCAATTTAATCTTTCGGCTCAAAGGCCATGCAATTTAAATTTCTGCCATTTAATTTTGAGCTCAAAGGCTCATTGTATTTAATTTCAGACTCAGAGGTCATGCATTTTAAATTTATCCATTTTTGAGCTCAGAGGCTCGCCATTATTTAATTTCGAGCTCAGAGGCTCATTGCAATTTAATTTTTTGGCTCAGAGGCCATGCATTTTAATTTATGTCATTTCATTTCGAGCTCAGAGACTCAATGTAATTTAATTTTTCCCGGTTCAGAGATTGTACACTTTAAATTCAAGTTATTTAATTTCGAGCTCGCTCATTACAATTTAATTTTTAGGCTTAGAGGCCTTGCATTGGATATTCATATCTTTTATTTCGAGCTCAGAGGTTCATTGTATTTAATATTTAGGTTGCATCTTATCCGTGTGTATTTCTACTCACTTGGACAAAATTAGGATTCATGTCTTTACTTGTTCCTTATAATGATAATACGCCAACTGCAATTTGTCATATTATATAGTAAGAAACAAATAAAGAGGGGCAACTGTGAACACCTAATTTTGTCCTAAATAAAAATTTATTATGAGCACCATTTTTCTCAAATAAAATAAAATAAATAAATAATAAAAAAAAAAAATAATAAAAAATAATAATAAAAAAAAATGATAATGAAAAAACCCATAGTCCCCATCAATGTGTCAATATCACTGCTCAAAACGGAGCAACTCAGCTGGCGCCTCTGTGTAAGTAGAGCCACTTTGTTCAAAGAAGAGCAGAGAGCAAAAATAGGTGAGGAGCAGAATCAAAAGCTAGAAGCAATGTCCAAAAGAAGAAATTGGAGAAGACCACACACTGAGTAGGCCTGAGCGTCTTGGAATGCATGGAAGATCCAACTCTTTCTTAAATCCATCGGGCTTAAGGAGGAAAGGCTGATGTTTTTCTTCTATAAAAGCTAACAGTAAAGGAAGTAGAGGGGGCGAGATAGCAGAGATAGGGCGGTGAAGAATGACCATAGAAGGGTTGCAGGGGGTGTCTAAAAAATATTATTGTTATTCTAAAAGTTCCACCGCCTTCATCATGATATAAAAGAGAAGGAGATGCAAGTAAAAAAGGGGAAGAAAATGGAGTACCAATGACACCATAGCCTTTTCAGCCATGATATAGAAAAGGAGAACGAAGAGAGGGGGAGAGAAAGCATAAAAATTTTCTCTACAATCTTCAACCACTATCAACCCATACACCTTCAAACCCAAATCCAAAAAAAAAACAATACTGTAATAAGTGTGTGGGTGCCATTTTCTGAAACACCATCAAACCCAGCCAGATTATTAGTGCCTCTACCAGCCACTGTGTGCACCAAGCAGAGCACCGCCACTGCCAACCACCGTGCGCAATACCACGCCACCGTGAGTCAAACCAAAATCACCATTGAACCATCACTTTGTATCTGACCAAAGCACCGTATCTCTTTCATTTGCTAAATTTTTTCTTCCCTGTTGCGACGTCCAAAAAGGTAACCAGCAAGTTTTTTTACTTGTGGCTAGCGTAGAATGTTTTTGTTTAATTTATTTCTTACTTGTGTTTTGAGTTGATAACTATGATAGGTTCAGTTTGGTTGAACTTGTTAAAGTACCTACGGCTTGTAATGTGAGCTGACCATTTTGTGTGTGTAGAATAGATAATGAATGTGCAAGTAACACATGTGACGAAAAAAAAAGTAAAATATCTAAAAGTTAAAGGAAGGACAACAGAATACATCTTTTCTTGCAGGAGGCTAGGATTGGATTGGTCATACTATAAATATGCAAAAGATATAAGATTCCTAAAAGTTAAAAGAAAAAATATTTTAATATAGTAAACATCAGTTTCTTTGATCCATGTTCTGCACACCTATTTTATTTTTAACTCATTCCTTTTTCCTCACAGTATAATAATGTTGGTATTAATTACGGCTCACGATATTTTGGTCAAGGATCCAAATGTTATTATATGATATGTTGTTACTATACCTGTACATAATCAACTTGATTTGAATTCTTTTTTGTGGACCGAATATATTACTATACCAAGTGTTACAATAAATTGAAATAAAAATTATCATATTAAAACTATCGTAAAGGGATAATTTAGTTGAGACAACTTGTTAATCTCATTATTTTTAGAATCATTTTGACTGGGACAGTCTGTTTGATTTTAAACCATTCAGTAATAATAAACAAATAAACAAAAAATCAAAGTTTTATTTAAAATTATTGTTTTTGGGGTTAATTTAAAACATAAAAAATAAAGAAAATTAGTTCACTATCAATAGAAATGGGAGTCAGCTAAGCCGTGACGGCTTGTTACCCCCACACATTTTGTTTTGACTCATTTTTGCCGTGACGGCTTGGTGATTCAAAATTAAATCAAATTTATCATAAAATTTACGATAACAAAAAATAATAATATGAATATTATTATTCTTTTTAAAAGAAAGGATTAGCTGAGTTGAGATAGTTTGTTAATCCTGCAATTATCATTTCGGATTATTTTAGCTGCGACAGTTTGATATTCCGAAACCATCAAATCCAAAATTTTCAAATTAATTTCTTTAAAACTACTTTCAAAATTAAAATCAATCAACACACAAATATTTTATAGAGAACGACGTAGCTTTGAATTCCTCACTGCACCGGAGGGTACGTCGGAGCGGAACTCTTTTCCGTCAAGCTAAAATAAAATTTTAATAATTTTAGTCTTTTTTTTTTTTTTTTTTTTTCTTAATTAAATAATCATATTTATTTTAAGGGATGAAGCAAATATTTTTAAAAGTTATTAATAATTCGCACAATTAATTCAAGGTAACCGTTTTTTAACGGATGTGTCAGGGGTGCAGTGGGATTAAGTTTTCACCCTTCCCTGCGCGTAATTAGACTCCCGAACCTTTGATCTAAAGTTTTAAAGACCAGTTTGCAATAAGAGGTTTTCCAATTTTTCCAAAGTAAATAAAATTGGTGGCGACTCCTTTGTTTTATTTTTTTTATTTCGGGTCGTTACAATAGCAATTATATTTTATATGTTTCTTAAACTTAAATCTTATTCTTAAATTATGTACATTAAATTTTTGATGGTATGTGAAAAAAGAGAGACTAAGAGAGAGAGATATATTCCCTTCGTTTGTCTCTTTATATTCTTGGTTTTCACATTCTGTGTGCATTTTGCATATTGAATTCACGAAGCACTCATTCCTAACAGTGTGTCACAGATCGAATGAAATGCCACCCTTGCAAAAATCTCCAACAATATCTTGTATGGTATAGTTTTGAAAAATTCTCCATTTGCAATGATGGGTTTCTTGTTTTCAATTATGAGTTTTTTGCTAAAAGAGTTTTACTGTTATGAATATTTTCTAAATCATGTAATACTTTAATTGTCATTGTGGGCCAACGATTGAAAATAAATAATAAGGCCCAATTTGCTATTGCATTCAGTTTTGGCTTTATTTGCTAACGAGACGCTGCGTTTTGCTTTGCTGAGTAATATAACAAATATCCTTGTGCTTGGAAATCTAAACGTGGCATATTCCAAAACAAAATCAGATTTGGGTT